TACTTTTTCTGCTGGTTGAGACTACAGAAGTCTTTCTGGGTAGACAAATGCACCCGAAATATGTGCACCTGGGCATTTTTCATATCCAAAAGCCGCCATAAAAGTCTGGAGCATTATAAATAAACACAAAAAGGTGTTTTCCGAAGTTAATTGATCAATTTTTTTTTATTTCTTGTAAGAAATTATCTCCGATCTTATCAATGATGCACAATTTAAATATTTTTTTCCTCCTTGTGATAAACGTAAGAGCTCATCAAGCTGTTAGTGACGGCAGTTAGTTTCACCTTTACTTTAACATGAAGAGCCAAATAAAATACGTAATATCCCAACGAAACGTCCCCCCCCCCCCCCCTTACTTACGATGAAAGAAAAATCCGACAGCATTTGGAGGCGGAGCTCTTGCTCGGTCGCCCATCACTAATCAAGATGGCGGTGGTGGAGTCACTAAGAATAAAATAAAGTGTGCACATCTGTACTTCTAATGAAATGTTTTATTATCCCGGCTGCGGCGGCTGCATTTCCGATGGAGGCGGAAATGTCGAGGCCCGTGTGCTCAGATTGGGGTGCACGTTAAAGAACCCCAGGTGGTCAAAATTTCCGGAGCCCTCCACTACGGCGTCTCTCATAATCATATGGTGGTTTTGTGACGTTAAACCCCACAAATCAATCATGAAATGTTTTATTGAATTCGCGTGCTTTTTTTGTTTTTATTCAACCTTGTCGCGCGAATAAAAACATGAACGAAAGTGTGAATGGTGGGAGTGCAAGGAAGGTTGAGGATATCGTTCGGTCACTGGTACACAAGTCGAATCTCCCCCAACAAAAAAGGGGAGGCGGGTGCTTGTTCGACATTTGCGGTGAGTAATCTAGCGAACACAGATGCCATATATCGCTTACTTGCGAAAGGGAAAGAATGCGTGGTGGATTACTCTGTATGCATAAGTAAGCGAACGTGAGGGTAGGGAAGCCGAGTCTGCACCGGCATCCGACGCTGTAAGTCGTGCTGCTCCCGGACAAAGAATGCGAAACCTTGGAATCAGCAGAAGCAGCATTAACTTGGTTTGGGGCGTCTTTCTTCACCGCTCGGCGGAGTCACAATTCCGTCGCAAGGGATTCAGCATGTTAGCAGCCCTCGTGCGACTGTGCTGCAGCCAGAAGAAAAAGAAAGAAAACAAAGCAGAAACAAGGCTCAAGGTCGAAAATTTTCACTGCGCCCGCAATTTTTTATGGGGGCGAAAATCCTTGAGACGCGCGTGGATGGATTTAGGTGCACGTAAAGAACACCAGATGGTTGAAATTTCTGGGGACCACCACTACGGCACTCTCATAATCACATCGTGGTTTGGGACGTTAAAACCCAAGAGTGATTCCAAACAGTTATTAAGTGCTCCGCAGCAAGTTTAAGAATTCAGTAAGGCTTGACTTCGGCCTTCTTGGTTCTTACACTGTAGGGATGCGCTCGTTAAAAATGATCGCTTTTGTGTATTTCCTTCGCTGAACGCTTTTAAAAAAAACGAACAGATAAAGAAATTAAGGAATCTATAGGTGGTGCAGAATCCTATTGTTTTAAGTGCATTGTTGTAATCACGATATGAATGTTAAGAAAGTAAAGTGATTTAGGAGACGTTATGATTCAATTGGTAGAGCATCGGGCTCAATGTTCCAAGTTTGGTCTCTGTCGGTGGCAAGCTGTTGTTTCGTGCACTCCAATTTCTTCATATTTGTATCTTACTAGACGATGGTAGGATTGAAGTACCTTATAGATTGCTTGGCTTGGTTATCTTCTGATCTCATTAAAGTCACCATCAAAAATATGAGTCCTCCAAATTCCCTTGTTGAGCTAAACGCTACTATTACAAAAATACGTTTTTATATACGCTTGTCCATAGATTACGAACGAGTTGACTCAGTTTGTCAACACGTTTTATAGCGAAAGTTATCATGAGATCACGACAAAAGCTGATTTTGTGGCGTAGTTTATTGCTCCACGGCCGACGTCTGTAACCAATATCGCGAAAAAAGACATCCAGGATTGAGTGTGATTCGAACCCAGGCTTTCTGTGCGACAGTCGACTATTCTACCACATAGCGACGCTGACGTTTGAAATTCCTTCGCAAGAGATCCTTATACAGCCATCATGTATAGGGTGAAGAATTGCGTTAACTTGTGTAATATAGCATGGTATAGCAGCAAAATGACAAACGGCGTCACGCGATTCGAATTGCGTAGCGAGTAGCTCGTTTAAAGCTACCAACTCGTTACAAAGGAATCAATCACAATTCTTCATCTTTATCGGCCACGACATCAAAGAGGTGCATGAAGTACCGTACAGGCATGTAGCGGGTACCTCGATCGCTTTACTGCGGAATAACGAAAAATGTGTCATATATAGTTGGCGCTTCCCTAATTCGTAAATGTTACGATGATATTTGGCATAGCGGGTACCTTGCTAGTGTATTTGCAGCTGTTGACGGAAGAAAGTTTACGAGGAGCTCTACAAATGCCGCACTTATAGAGCTCTCGCTCGCCAGTGCTGCATGTTCCGCGCAGGATGTGGCTGGCTTTGAAGTACTCTTTCATTTCATACTGTTTGTACCGACAGCTTGATTAAGCTTGCATGTATAACACATTTTTACACTGAGGTAGTCTACTCGACGTTGCTCTCAGCACAACCCCGAGACATTGTAATCCGCAGTCTAACACGACGTAATCAAATACGCCATAATCCTCGTTGTCAGAGTCTTGCAGCTGGAGGCGACGGCTCGCACAATCTCACGCGAAATCCTCCACTTGCTCGCCTGAAGGCTCGACGCCTCCATGATTAGCAACGATGCTCATCGTTCCTTGCAAACGGACCGACGCAGGGTAATCTAGGAGGGCAGCACAAGGCTGCGAAAATGAGTTTGCCCTCGCCAGATTGCTTCCGAGCGGCACATCGTATTTGCGCAAGGGTTTTCGCCTACTTAAACTCCCGTATCTCGCACCTTGGTAACATTGCGCACTAAGCTCGCTGCTATCAGTGACTCCCTTGGCGATCCGAGCGAGCCTTTGCACCAACCTGCTGTTTTCTTCCCGCGATACCGAATAGCGTACAAGGAGACACGCATCCTTATGAGCCAAACAGTTTATGTTACCATATCTTATTGCGATAGCAATTATATGGACAATCTCGGCTGACTTTTGCCATCGGCGTCATGTCCCGGATATGTATATGTATGTATATAGGTATATATTAAAGGCACAGAATTCTAAGGCACCTCACCGGAGATTCAAACCAGCGACGCCTCGCTCCTCAGCGCGCTGCGTTAACCAACTATGCCTCACTGCTCATGCCGTCTGTATCACTAACGATGAGCTATATATATATATATATATATATATATATATATATATATATATATATATATATATATATATATATATATATATATATATATATATATATATATATATATATATATATACAACAGGTTTACTCTTGATGGATTAAAATAAACATTCTTGAACAAAGCTCGTAAAGACTCGCTCGCAGTTATGCAGTTATGCATTTATACATTAACCACCGATTTCATGGCCAATCTCTCGGGGTGGATGGGAGCCATACCTAAACGAAAAAAGCAAGCAAGCTTCTCCCACCATCCAGCTGCTTCCGGCATCGGCGCCCACACTGAAATGGTCTGCGACAATCTGAGGTACACATTTTGGGAAAGTGCATTGGAACTGTACTTTTCGCTACCGCGCCACTGGTATTATCGACGTCGACTGACGCCAAGAAAGGAAATGCCGGACAAACTCCGGCTGAAACGTTGTATGTAGTTTGGCCTTTGTGATGTTACCGCATGTTGTACCTGCAGAGCAGCTCCAACGGCAATGCTAGTTGCGTTGAAGCAAGGCGGGCTCGCACACGTGCCCAAACACAGGAAGCACGTGCTGCTGCGCGAGCGACAAACGTTGCAACTCAAAGCACATTCGAACGTGTTCACTACATTTCATGTAGTTTCTAAATATCTTAACCTTACTTCGTATAACAGTGCGATGTGTTGCTATTGCATTTATTGCTTCTGACCCATGTGCCGAAACTGGAACCGGTTTTACGTGTGACCAACGGGCGCATCTTCATGAAAAGTTGTGCGCAGAACATTTCATTAAAATGAGGGGATGAGCTAAGTGTCACTGCATCGCCGCCGCTCCTCCATTGGTCAAGTCCGAAAGGGAACCCTAATGCTTGGATGCAAAAATAAGGGCGAAGCTATGACGTGCGTCTCACAATGACGTGCCCTCTGTACGCGGGTATAACGATGGCAACTGAAGTTTTTGGAATGCTGCGTCACGGGTCCTCGGTTGCAGTTACCGTGAACATGGCACTTCAAACATTAGCAGGATAGGTGAGAATGAGTAAAGGTACGGGGGAGTCCTGGCACCACGCTCAAGCGAATAGGGACCCCTCCTCCTGTCTCTACTGTGCACAAGCCTATGTCTACGTGAAACAATATATTATTATGGTTGAAAACCAGAAGCAGGAAAGGTAGGGAAGCTAACCAGAAGGCATCACGATAGCTATTCCACACTGATTTAAAGAGAAAGGAAGAAATATCACACACCCACAGGTCACGGATTGAATCCCTGGCTGCGGCGGCTGCATTTCCGATGGAGGCGGAAATGTTGTAGGCCCGTGTGCTCAGATGTGGGTGCACGTTAAAGAACCCCAGATGGTCGAAATTTCCGGAGCCCTCCACTACGGCGTCTCTCATAATCATATGGGGGTTTTCGGAACGTCAAACCCCACATATCAATCAATCAATCAAGAAACACCACACACGCATGTCAAGAAAAATTGTCATTTTTCGCTCGTACTTTGATGTGTCACTCAGTAAATGGTTAGGTAAAAGAATTTAAAACACCCTCGATGTGTGATCGGCTGCTTATATCTGAATATTGCACCTGTTTGTTGCTCATAACATTCGCCTAAATATATTTTCTCTCTGTGTGTGTCACGCAGGACTTGGAGCTTGCCGTGACGGCAAAGCAGCCTACCTCAGCCTGCCGTCGCCGAACCTTCAGACGGAGGTAAGAGTTAACGTTGCTTCGCATCTCATTACTTCGGTGTAGGAACCCTGTAGACCCTCTGTGTTTTCTGATCACTAATTGATAGGCGCATTAGCGATAGTCTTATTACAAGGCTAATCTGGAATAAATTTCTGCATCTACTGCAAAATAAGCTAAAATGAGCTTACAACGAGAGGGTTTCGTTGAAAATTCGGCCCGCTGAAAAAGCATCTTGCACCTCCTCAGACCGGTGTTGTGAAAGTGGCATAAGATATATTACATTTTGTACACAGCAAAAGAAAAGTGGTGTTCCGGCCGAGTGGTGTTCCAAATACTTAGGCTTAATATTTAGAGAAAGCCTGTTACAAGGCGAAGTTCCAGTAGATTGGAAGAAGGGTAAATTGGTACCCATTCATAAATCAGGTGATAAATATGACGTGAAAAACTACCGCCCTATTTCGTTGTTATGTACAGCCGGCAAGGTTATGGAACACTTCCTTTTCAAACACTTAAGTTCATTTCTGGAGAGTAACCATTTTTTTTCCCCAAATCAACACGGTTTCCGGCAAGGCTTTTCAACCACCACACAGTTAATTCACACTACTGATGACTTTCTAAAAACACTTGACAAAGGCGGACAAATTGATGCGATTTTTTTAGACTTCGAAAAAGCTTTCGACCGAGTTTCCCATTCCCATTTGATGTTTAAAATTCGCCGAATCCTAACCAATGAAAGAATTCTTCGATGGCTTGATTGTTATCTATCCCACCGACACCAACACGTTCGGATAGCAGATAAAAATTCTTCTTCCGCTCCCGTGCATTCTGGGGTACCGCAGGGCTCTGTCCTAGGACCACTTTTATTTTTAGTTTATCTAAATGACATGTCCTCCGAATCTACTGTGCAGTGTCGTTTTTTCGCGGATGACTGCGTTGCGTACCTGCCCATTCAATCAAGAACAGATCACGCCACCCTAAATGAATACTTATCGGTTATTACAGCATGGTGTAACTCCTGGAAAATGAGCCTCAACATAGCAAAGTGCGTCAAGATGACCATAACACGTAAAAAAAAACCCCTCGGAATTCACTTACATGTTAAACAACACTGCTATAACAACCGTTAACCAGTACAAATACCTTGGTCTGACGATCACTTCTAATTTGAGCTGGAAAACTCATATCGAAGGTATAACATCAGCAGCACTGCGGCGATTGTGGTTCTTAAAGCATCGCATGAGGCACTGCACCAGCAAAACAAAACTAGTCGCTTACACTACATTGGTACGCCCATTGTTGGAATATGCTGACGTTGTATGGGATCCTCACACACAAACAGAAATATACTTACTAGAACGAGTCCAAAATAAATCCCTTCGGTTTATTTACCACGCGTACAGTAGACACTGTTCAGTCACTGAACTCCGTAATAGATCCGCTCTTCCCACATTGGAGTCCCGTAGAAAGCTACATCGCTTAAAATTCCTTTATAACATAGTCAACGGACACTCAGGACTCGCCTTTAACACTTACATGCAGTACAATACATCGCGAAAAACTCGGAACAAGCATGATAACACCATAGTGGTGCCGCTAACAAAAACAAATTCTCGGCGATATTCATTCTTTCCACGAACAATTTCCGACTGGAATGAACTACCTCATGACGTCACCAGCATCGCAGCGCCCGACGCATTCTTATCAGCTGCCACTGCCTGTTTGTAGTAAAAGCTGTCTGGTCGTATGTGCAGATTTCAATTCTTCTAATGATGTTTTTACACTTCGTGTTAGGAACAAAATTTGGATCGTATTTTCGATACCGCTCTTGTGTTGCTCCTGTAACCCGAGTATTCATGTTCCACGCAAACCTGTTATGTGGTGATTTTATTTCTGCGCCGTGAAGTGTAGTGTTATATGTGGCTGCAAGTAGGTCGGTTTGCCTGCGCCTTCCACTTACTCTCTGCGTCTAGACTGGCCTAAAGGCGCGTCGGCATCGTTGAAACGCTGAGGTGATGCGTGCCTCCTCCTAACCGCAATTCTTGGCACGATGCAGTCTAAACTAATCGTCGCTCATGCCCCTGATAGCGTTTCTGTTGTCAAACATTGTGGTTTGTTTTCATGGATTTAGAGGCTGAGATTATACGGCACGATAAGGTGTTTAATAAGGCACTCTCCAAAAGCATCTAAAGAACATCTCCGTCACATCGGGCACGGAAGAGGAAGGAGGAAGAAAGTTTAAGCGGAAAGACAGGGAGGTTAGCCAGTTCTTAGAGCGGCTGGCTACCCTGGGCTGCGGAAAAGAGTGAGGGGAATGAAAGATGTTAAAAAGAAATGTTGCGAAGAGAGAGAGAGAAATGACAAAAAAAATTGTGACAGAGGAAAGGCAACATCAAATAGTATAAGACACTAAAGTCTGTCTCTGAGGCCAGTTGTCCGCAAAAAGTGCAGCAAAGGTTTCAAAGCCTTCTGGGCTGAGGATGGGCTCGGCCAAAGACCCAGAATCCTTTGTTCCGACGAAGGCCGATCGTCCAGTCTATCCAGAGCGGCAGTGAGTTCTTGTCTTTGCGCGTTGAAATGGGTGCACTCACACAGAAGGTGCGCGATGGTTTCTTCACGACTTGCTCAACCAGTAAAGCTGGCCCCTCCTTTGGCCTTAAACATTATCTCTAGGAGCCAGTTCATAGAACCGGAAAGCCAGTCTCTGCTACAGCGTCACAACCAACTACGACAGCTAGATTCATGATAACGGACTCCACGAAACACTGCTTCGATTTACATACAACACAGGCCTTACAGCACACCTATGATACACCAAGTCTATATGACAATCCAGGAGATTCGTAGAAGGGTAAGCCATTTTATAAAAAGATTCAACGTCTCATGGAGAAAATAGAAAGTACACTTTTTCTCCTTTCTGCTTTCGCTCTCGCTTGCGCACACATGCACAACAACTCCGACAAAGTTCTTTGCAGCTTCTAGATCGAAAGCACGAAACGCGCGCAATCGGTGCCCCGCTCTCCGCCCTCTCGTCGCCCACTTCAATATGAAGTGTCGACGCATGGCTCGAATATCAATTGAGTTTGGCATCGATCGCGTATAACGAACCGTGCGGCGGCGTAAAGCTAACCACCTACACTGACCCACCACAGAGCAGCTCGGCGCTGCCAAGAAAAAAAAGTCACGCGCGACCTTTCGTAAGGGTGTTCCTGTTTGACCGCATAGAGCACACCGGGCGATACTCCAGCATTCGCGGCTTCTGTTCGAGCACTTGTACGTATTCGCTTCTGCAGACCTTATATAGGAAGTTGCCGAAATACTGCACCAGGTTCATCGTATACCCGCTGTGGCGACTCGTTCATCACTGCCCCGTGACGTGATCCAGTTACGAACTGTAAGTATACCCGCGATATCAGGCTAAAAGCGTACAGTGCTGTTGGAACTGCGCAATGGTCGCGAGTCAGTTGAAAAAGGGGGAAAAAAGCGCTCAACTTAAAAGACCCCTGTATTAACATTGCCGTGAAAGCCGGCAATTTGAAAGCTAGACGCATTATCGAAAGCTAGACGAATTCGACGCTAGACGAAAGCTAGACGAAAGCTAGACGAAAGCTAGACATTCAAAAGCTAGACATTCAAAAGCTAGACGCATTATCACGGCATGACCTTCAAGTAGAAGATACGCGCATAAATGAGATGAATGCACAGGAAACATTCGTGCGAGCAAACATGGTGACACACCTGAGGCACCTGGCAACAGTCACTGCTTATCGTGCCGTTTAGATTCTAAGACAAAGCGCGCCGCTCATTGGCTCGTGAACGTTTAAGTGCTAAGTTCCTTAGAGGCTCGGCTTGTCTGTGTCTAATGTCGTCACGGTCCACCGTAAATGGGTGTGCACCAGTAGATGTGGTATATCCCACTACTAGCCACCGGTCCACTAAAAAATTAAGAAGGCAACGGTTAGCTTAACAAATAGCCGACCACGTTAGTGGAGCTCGAACACCCTTCTGCATACACCCCCGGTTTCAGGCTTGACACCGTTATCGCACTCATTTCGATTTACGTACGTTGCTCCGTTGGTTATCGAAATTCAGCGATCGAAAAATCTAACAAATTTATATAATCAACTCTTGGCCAATGCTCCTGATTGAGTACAAGTCACGTTAGAGGCAACAACAACAACAACAACAACAACAACAACAACAACAACAACAACAACAACAACAACAACAACAACAACAACTGGTTGCTAAGCGACGGCAGCGAGCCGACGACCCCGAGTACGCCAACGAGAGTACTGTTTGATATGTAGGGTTTAACATTCCAAAACCACCATATATGATTATGAGAGACGCCATAGTGGAGGGCTCCGGTAATTTCGGCCACCTGGGGTTCTTTAGCCTGCACCCAAATCTGAGCACACGGGCCTACAGCATTTTTGCCTCCAGCCAACGAGAATACACGGTAGCGGGAAAGGCAGCGACAGCTTCGAGAAGACGCCGAAGTGTTTGAAGGCCTACGCCACCGACTACGGGACCGTAGATATGAGAAGTGCGAACGCTTGTTTTCAGCGCGGTTTCTGTCTCTCGAAGTTTAAACATCCGTGCAGCACCTGTGACGGCGGTTTCACTCAAACTTCTCTGCGCTGAGAATAGACGAAGGAAAACAAACCAGCATAACCAATCTAAAACCTTGTAATGACCGAGAAGCACCATATAGAAACAAGCTGCATCACTCATCTAAGGTTTTGGAAAAACCTAGGAGCAACCAGATTAGTCTTTTTTAATCGTCCAGTTTCGCTTTTTCGAGCCTTGCGCGACTTAGAGCAAGCCTCGGCAAGTCTTAACGATAAAGCTCGGAAGTCCGCATTTGCTATTATTGTTTTTATCCTTGTGCAGATGAAAACACGAACTACAAAGAACAAAGAGCAAAATAGAGAGCACGACGGCGACTGTTGGCGATAAGGTCGCGTATCACCACTCAGCCGTGGAAAAAAAATACTGCGTTTTAAGTTAGCTTTCTCGGT